GAAAATAGCTCAACTAAAAATATTTTAGTAAAACCTATAACATCTCTATTCATAATGTTTGTATATATTATTGTGAATGACTGTGATGTTCTGCTCTTACGTTAGTTGTCTGGGCTGGTGACCTTTTAAAGGAAGTTGTCAGCTGTAAAAGATTAAATATGTTTCTTTGGAAAACTCTGGCGCATTTATGTTGGAAACACCTCCCTCCTCCCGAGCACCTTTCCAACGTCAGGCTGAGGAAGGGGAGTACGGTAACTTTCCAGAACAGCGTGCACACCCGGGCCTGAAGTTCTCCATCTGGGGCTCTGAGCTATGAGACATCACATACTATAGGACATAAACATATTTTGACAGGTGGATAACCAGAGCTGGTGGGAGTTTGCAAAATGTGTTGCAAAAGCCAAGGCTCCGCATTCCACTGAATGTATTCACTTTGATAGCAACAAACTCAAAATGTGCGAAAACACTTTTCTTTTCTTTTTTTTTGCTTTTGTCAAGATAAAAATCATCTTTATTTATAGGTTTTGTTGGTTACACATCTGTGCTTTTTATCATAAGAGTTGTTCTGAATTAAGAATAAAAATATATAAATAAATTTCCCAATGAAATGAAATCATCACTACAAGCTTAATGTTTTAAAATCATCTAAACAGTATTAATATAACCAGTTAAACGGGTAAAAGTAAACTGAAACCAGCGTACCTACTCTATGAGTTAACTGAAACTACACTGAATCAAAGCATACATTGAGTCTCTGCATGACTCACTGTTATAAATGTGATGGCTAATTCAGATCATGTGACTCTTTATGAGGTTCAGAACTGGACGTCATTTCATTTCCTTCAGCTAAATTCAGACGAAACTTGCCACCAGGTCGTAGGTCACGCTGAACAGATTCTCCCACCGGCTGCTTCTCGGCCTGAAAATTTCAAGCTGGTTGCAAATTATCTTGAAATCTGATTTAATTAAAACCTAAATTTCGAGCACCACATTGTGAGACTAATGCAGTCATGCTTTTATCATCTTAGAAATTAAAAAAGATGTCATTTAAGATTTAAAAGTGTGCTTTTACATGTGTCAGCCTTTTTTTCTTTCCTGAACTAAAACTCTATTTGAACGACTGTAGACTATAAAGAAGTCAGCAGCCTCCCATCACTCCCATTTTGGCATTTTTAAACTGGCTCCCAGTATGTTCTGGAATAGTCTAGATTTGTCATTTTGATTACTTTTGAGGCTCTTCCTGCTCCCAGTAGAGCAGCTGAGCAGCTCAGACTCAGTCCCTTCATTTAATTTGCCCCTAAAAGTGTTCTTATTAATATATTACTCTTCTTACTTTCATTTTTATTTAGCCTGCCTCTGATTTGTCTGTAACAATTTACGTTTTCTTTCTTTGAGTGAGTGAGTATTCTTCGTTGGAAGAGCTTTTTAGGATCCTAAGTTTGCTTTGGAAACCCCCTCCCCAATCCTCTGTGATGTCTGATTGAGCAGGAGTTCTGAGTCGGAGCATTTTCTTAACTTTCCAAACAGCAGTCACTCTGCATTTATGTTTTCCATCTGGACCAAAACTAAAAGCACAAAATCAAGCCATGTGACTGTGAGTTAGCACATACATTACATGTCACATACACAGGAAACGTAGACAATGCATTGAAGAATTCAAGGGCATAAGTCAATGAAGTCATTTTCATTTAGTCTGAGGCCGACAAAAGCATCTGTGGTATGTTTTTATTTATAAGAATATTTATGCTGGGTTAAATTATATTAAAATAATTTTTATTAGAATTTATTTTAACCTATTTCAGGGTTTCAGATTTACAGCTTGGGGAAACAGCAGATCTTTTCTTTCAGTTCCTGGCAAAGAGAAATATTTCCCTTGTTCAACTCGGCCTTCAAACTCACCGTCTAAAAATGGAGAAAACACCTCAGCAGGTCACCACTACATAACCTTCTTTGTCAGGGAGTGTTTTTTCAGAGGTTCACATAAGGCCAGATGTTTTCATTAGCAGTGGAAACTCATTTGTTTAATTATTAACCATTTTATGGCCTTTACAACTGGGTGGGATTCATAGTTACATGAATTTCTAGATCAGTCATGGCAGTCATCGTTCATGTGACAAGTCATGTCTCCTTGGCTTCATTTCAAGTAAAGTTAAGAAAAGATGAGATGCAAACATAGTGACCACTTGATGATCACTCGATTTTGACATTTCATAATTTCATGAAATAGTGAAGCAATATTGTTTCCAAGAAAGTCTTGAGTTGGCAAAACTGAAAGTCAATTTTGTTGGTACACTCAGAGAAACTGGGAGTTTCAAAATTACAAAACCGAGAGGGCATTATACTGAAAATGGCAGGAAATGAGAAAAGGAAGGAAAAGATAGAAAGACTACAAGGAAATAGGAGGGAAAGAACCTTTTCTTCAGTGTGTGAAATCACTCGAACAAATAAAAAAAAACCTATAACACTTACAAGTTAAGCACATAAACTGCAGTAGAGGTCAACAAGATGCCCAAAAGCTTGCATCTTTTAATCAGAATTAAAACATCCTCATGAATCAGGTCACTTAAAATCTAGCAGGAGTAATCTAGTGGAAGCAGGATTTTACAAAACTGCAGAGCTGTTGTTGCATGGTTCATGTTAGATAACAATCTATCAGGAAATTATTGTATCATGTACGCAAAAGTTGAGCCGAGTTTTCTGCTTTGACAGGATATGTAGGCATCATAAGAGACACACACACACAAAATAATAACGTTGTTCTGTTTTCAGACAGAAATATTTGAGACAAAACAATCTGTTTCTTTTCTTTTCTTTCTTTTTTGGAATGATTCTGAATCAGGATGACGTCAGCATGCTCTGCTTGTCTTTGCTAGATATGTGTGCACTTTAAAGCCATGCTGCTTTCTGCTTTATGGCTGCACATTAAAACAGCCCAACATAAACAGCTGCACCTGATGTGGGTCAGCCCATATGGAAAAAAATAAAATAAAATAAACATGCGTTTCATGAACCATCTTCTTTTCCAGTTTTGGACAATTCAGTAAGCATAAAATAAACATTATGTTACAGTAGCAGAGTTTTATAGCTAAGGTAAAACCCTTTAAAATGTATTTTCCTTTAATCTGACTGTTAGGACGAGGACATTACTGCTAGTGCTGAAGTTGCAGGTGTAACTTTGAAACTATTATCAATAATAATACATAAAACTAGTGTGAAAGACTGCTAATAATATCGATTATTATGTCTGAATATTATTAACATATAGATGCTTACTAGTTGTGTATTTCCACAGCTGCCACGACTTACAATTTAAATTTAGATGTTAAATAGTGAAAATTCGCACATATTTTTGTATTCTGAAGCCAAAAATCAACATTCTCACAGGAAATCTGTGTCAGCAGTCGAGTAAACAAGATCATCTGATTACGACTAATCAAGAAAATCCCTGCGTGTAGATTACATTTACTGGCAGTCTACAAATCTGTGACACACACACACATGTAAAAGCACAAGTAGTTCAGAAATGAAAACATGCAGAAAGTTTTCTTTACCTGTCCTCACATGACAGGTATATGTCATCATATCATCAGACAGGAAAAGGAAAATCATTATAATCCTTCCATCCATCCATCCATGCAAAGGTCCATATCTGTCTGCATGTCTGTCTAACCTCTTTTATACCCCAGCTGGTGAGTGTGGTGTAACCGCACAATAAATAACCGTCCACTGTCACTCAGCCTGAACGGCCTTATTCACTCGTTAGTGTGGAATGCCTGGAATGGAAATCCATGTCAGTGTCAAAACAGGGAGAGATGACAGAGAGGGAAGGGAAGCGTGTGAAGAGGTGATGCTTATGGAAACAATAATGGAGGGCAAAGAGGAATAATAAAATGAGGCTGATTAGTACAAGACGGGACATGTATGGGGGTGAAAAAAGTGGAGGAAAGAGAGAGAAGAGAAATAAGATAAAAGAAGTAGAAGAAAGAGGGCAAAAGACTTCAGGTGAATAGAAGAAGGAAAGATGTACAAGTACTATGATGAAGGAATATAAAAACATGGATAATTAAGAAAAAAGTATCAAAGTGGGAAAAAGTGAGCAGAAAGAACTTGGAAATATAATGATGGAGGAGTGAAAAAGGAAAAGACGTGAAGGTTTTTAGTAGAAAACAGGAGACAAAGTAAAAAGGGAATAAAAGAAACTGCAATTTTAAAAAGAAAAAGATCAAACAGGTTAAACTGGTTATCTGTAAATACCATCAACCTACCAGGTGTCGCAGAGGAAAATTAGCCCGTATTTCTAAATTTGGTAAATTTACGAGACAATAACAAAAAAAGATTCAAGTGATTAGTGGAGATGCGTGTGCAGGAGGTACAGCAATGGGTGGAGAAGAGACAACTGGAAATAGGATGACAGAGATTAGATGGGAGGGAAGATAAGAGAAAAACATGTTATGAGAGTGGCAAAGAATAGAGGGATTTTGGGACATAAACCATGGAAATTTGTGAAAAAGGCCAAAGCTGATGGGGGGATTAAAAAAGGAGGGGGATAGAAACTATACCAAAAAAGAGGATTGGAGATGATGAATGAAGTGTTGAAAAAAGAGACAAATATAAAAACAAAAAAGGAAAAAAAAAGATTAAAAGATTGGGAAAGGAATAACGCGTTGGTGGGAAGAGGGTAGGAAGCAGAGAGGAGGAGGCGGAGAATGAGGAAGAGCTGAAAATCTGCGGGAGGATAGGCAGAGGAGGAAAAAACATGAGGAGGAGGAGGGAGGGGACGCCTGTCCTGTTATGGCAGAGAAGAACACTCGGGGTTGCTAGATTGCATCATCGCCGGATCAGCCTTCTAAAAATAGGATGACGTCACCCCCCCTACTCTCAGGCTCCCAACCCTAGCACCCTCCCTCTCTCGCTCTCTAGTAGCGTTGCGTTGCGTCATGTGTCCCGCCCCTTCAACCAATTTAAAAGCGCGAGGTGACGCAACGTAAAGGCTACAAGAGCAACCGTAGCCAACGAGCAGGAAGCCGACACAGGAAGAGCGGAACGCACAGACATAAGAGAAGGTTTATTTTCTTCACGGCGCACTTCATCCGATCCGGACACTCACAGCTTTAACAGGTAGGCTGGAGATCTGTTTCCCGTGGAGGAGGACGGGGGTGTTTGAGCGTGTGTGTGAGGGGCAGAGAGGCGGTGTTGTCGCTCTTTGATCCCGGTGAGAAGCGCAGAGAGCCGGTGTCTCCGTGCGCTCCGTCCCGGGACACTGCGAAAACTTCCGCGCGTGTTTTTGCGTGAAAATATAAAATATATAAACAAAATATATAAACAAGCACATCTTTTTGGAGCAGTTTGCACTAACGATTTTTATTTATTTTTTATTTTATTTTAGCGTATTTTGTATTTATAAAAACTTGTTATTGTTTTTGTTTCAAATATGACATCATGCGACGTTTTTCTTGGATTCTGCTTGAATGCATTTTGTTACACTTTTTTTTGTAACTTATTTATAATCAGGTATTTCGGATTTTTGCACTTGTTTCCTCACTTTTGACGAGACTTTTAATATTGTTGTTTCTTTTTTTTTTCTTCTTTCTTTTGAGTTAACTTTATAATAACAAAACCAAAACAAACATATGAATAGCACAATTCTCTTTTATAATTACCTGAACACATAATAACGAAACTGAAGGGAACAGAGGGAGGCGGTGGTAAAATATTTGTAGAGCTAACAAGACTTTTTAAAACTTTTTTTTTTTAATTCTAAGAAGATGCAGCTGTGTGCAGACTAATACAAACCATATCATTAATGACTTCGTTGCAAATGATTTATTACTGGAGAACATAAGAATATAATATAAACGTGCTTGTTTTGGTTTTGGTCTCAGAGCTGATGTAAACACCTTCTTATCTGGCTGATGGCCATAATTCAACTCTTTTCACTTCTCCGTTTAGATAACAAACATCCACACCTCCCTAATTAATGAGCCTTTTTTACAGCATGTTTTCCACAAAGCAAATATTTGCTTAGTTTTGAATGACATAGCTATTTGTCTTGTCATCACAATCTGTTTGTCCTCCTTAACATGCCATGTTGACCTTTCAAACCGATCTTAGCTTTGGACTTCCTTCTGACATTTGTGTCATTGTTACTCAGCAAAAAGTTGAACATTCCTTTATTATTCTTCCCACATTATTTATCTTGTGACTTTCAGCATTGGGTTCATAATGACTTTAGCTCAGTTTCTTTTGAATTATATTAAGTGTTTCTAACCCACCTGACGATTTTCATCTCTTGCGTTTACAGAATGATGCTTCAGCACTCGGGTCCTTCTCTGGCTGACATCAGCTGCTCCGCCTTGGTTCCTTGCTTCTCCCCTCAAGGCACACTCACCCTGGACGACTTCACCAACTTCACACCCATCGTGAAAGAGGAGCTCCGGCTGGCAATCCAGAGCAAGCGACTGTCCAACGGGCTTAGCACCGACATGAGCTCCGATGGTGCCAGCTCCAGCTCGGATCGAGCCTCTGAGCTAACTTCATACAGGAACGGGGTCAAGCGAGAGGTAAGGCAGAGGGGGACTTACAGCATGTAGTTATCTGTAATGTGTCTGTTATATACATACATACATACATACATACATACATACATACATACACAGAGAGAGAGTATTTTTTTCTTAATGGTCTATATTTCTCACTTTTTTTTAGTTGACATCTGAGGAGCATGAAAGAAGGAAAAGGAGGAGGGAGAGAAACAAAATCGCTGCCGCCAAGTGCCGCAACAAGAAGAAGGAAAAGACTGAATCACTCCAGAAGGTAGTTTTCCACTTTCATCAATCTGAGCATTGGTTATTCTGCACCTACTCTTAGCTTTTTGCACCCTCACAGTTAGACGATTTATAAAGCATGACATTCACAGCTTGCGGTGAGAAGTAGCTTATGTTTCTCGGGTGAATAACAGTCTTCTTCTTCCATCCTTCTCTGCAGGAGTCTGAAAAGCTGGAGAGCATCAATGCCGACTTAAAAGCTCAGATTGAGGAGCTTAAGCAGCAGAAGCAGCAGCTGGTCTACATGCTCAACCTGCACCGGCCGACGTGCATCGTCCGAGCCCAGAACCCCCAGACGCCCGAGGACGAGCGAAACCTTTTCATCCAGCACATCCAGGAGAGCACCTTACAACTCCACAACCTCACCTCCACCACCACCTCATCCGCATCCACGTCCACAGCAGCGCCTCTCGGCGGAGGACTTCTGACTCTCGATCATGTCCAGTGCCCCAGCCACTTATGATCGCCCAGAGTGTTATCTAGGGCTTGCAATTCTTCCATCTCCTGCTGCTGATGTAGGACTGACTGGTTTCGCAGGAGGTGGAGTTGCCACATACAGACTTATGACCTGAGAATGAAACGCCACCTATGACTCCTCACGCCCACCTGCCGTCCATAATGCTGCTAGAGAAAAAGAGAGCGGTGTAAAGTGACCTCAGCACCTTCCGCTCCCTGAACCCGTAGCTGCTGATTGGACAGGAGTGAGAAATGATGGACAGCACTTTGACTTGCATTGTGTTTCTTTTTTTTTTTTAAACATTTTAAACAGTCAGGGCCAAGAACAGATGCTAAAGCACTTAAACAAAGTTCAACAGCTTTTCTTGATTTATTAGTATTTTGAATAGTCGATGGTCTGATTTTTGTACCAAAGCACGATTTCAAGGTGATCAAGGCACATTATTTAAGAGTTCACCCCGACAGTAAGGAGATTCAGAATGACTGTGTGAGTGTGTACAGATGCAAGTCACTGACTTTAAAAAGAAGCGGTCTCTGTTTAGTGTACAGCAAAGATGACATATTTATTAAATGATTACTGTATTTTAGGATGTTGCTGTTTTAACCCTGTCTGCTTGTCCTGTATACAAAGTGAATTGCTAAAAACGCTGCTACTACTAACCACTCAGGACCTAGGTATGCTATAGACGTCCGTTTTGTTATACATAATATGAGATGACTCGTCCAAAAGCATGAGTACGGGTCGGGTTCCTTGCTGTGAGTGTAGCAGACACAAAAGGGAAATGTACGTTGCAGGCAGGGTTTCTAATTCTGCACTTAATGAAAAAAGCCTAGTACAAAAGACAGTGTAATCACATGTATAGATAAGTGTTTTGTTGTGGGTTTTTTCTTAAGAATTCAATATTTTATGGCAATCACAATTGCCCAATGGACACTTTATTTATCACTGTGTTCTCTCTTAAAGCAAAGGGGATTTTTTTTCAACCTGTTCTGTGACAATGAAGCTACATAAGTGTTATTTTACAGATGTGTTTTCTACCCAGTGTCTTGTATAAAGTATCAAATGCATATTAACTATGTGCTGCTGTATGTAAACACCAATGCCTCCTTTGGTCTCAACAGAGCAAAACCAAAAGTTATTTTTTTAAAAATGTATTTATTGAAAACATTTGGTCCGGATGTTGTGTTCATTAGATATCGTTAGCTAGGTATCAGAAGCGCTGCATCAGTTTACTCTGAAGTTATGCAAGATTTGTTGACACGTTAGAATCTAAGTGTGTCGTGAACTTCCACTGTTTGAAAACGAACTGCCAAAATAGTTGTTGTTCACTTGCACACCCTTTTCCATTGTAAAAAAAAAAAAAAAAAAATAGCCCAAGGAAAAAAGCAGTTTATTGCTCAAACAGAAATTTGACAAGCACGATGATTGCTGTTTGTTGTTTATTGGCAGTAAAATAAAGCCAAACATGAGATCAGAAGCCCTTTATTCCTGAGCGACACTCTAACTTCTCATTCTCAATCAAACTGAAACTCTGACGCACAAAGCGAAGGATGAGTACATACCAGAAGGGGTTTCCTTTGACAGAATAATAATGAATTTTGTAGACTGAAGTTGTATTCCTCTGTTAGAAGGTTTATATTGTTGTATGTGTTGTGCGAGAGTCACATTGTTAAAGGGACGCAGGCGTCTTTGTGGTCATAGTACTTTTGTCACCTGTTGTCCCGATGCTAGTCATTACTAGATAGTCACTGAGCACTGAGTGCATGTATTCATATTGTGCCTATTTCTACTACTGAAGACTTTTTTTTTCTCTATAGCTGTGTCATAGCAGAAATAAATAAAGGATGTCAGGTACAACTGCACTGCTACTATCACTGTGTAACTACTTCCATCTCTGTTTTGATTTTTGATACTTTGATAATTAAAGATGTGAACTGAAAATGCGACCTGTGAGATGCCTTTTCTGGAAATGGATGGGCAGGTGTGATTTGCACTGATGTAGAGAAAAAACTTTTTTTTTTACATCAGGAGTTTCTGGTAGAGAGCAGAATTCATGTTTCCATCAATTACAGCAACCAGTGAGGTCCTGAAACAGGACAGCAGTCCCAGACCGTCACCCTGACACCACCATGTTTGGCTGTCGTTTAATGAAATGCTGTGTTAGTTTCACACCAGATGTAACGGGACTCATTATTGAAAACATTTGGCTTTGTCACCCTGTCCAGACTGATAGATGTTAGCGACTAGTTATCTCTTTCTAATATTATATTTTGTTTGATGATCTGAAACATGTAACTGGGACAAAAATGCAAAAAAAATTGTTATTAACATATCAGTAGTACATAATAATAATAATAATGGTTAGAGCATAATAAATGTGCAGCAATGATTGTAGAACCAAAAACAAGCTCCCTGAAGCTCAGTGGAAGTGGGCTGAGTAGCTGATTTCTTATGATAATCTTAAATTAAATTATGATATGATTATTGCTACAGTGAGCGCACATGATGCTGTTGGAAAAAAAGCTGTGATAGTACGTTGATAACACTAAACAGAGCAGAAACAGAAATATTAGTGCCTTGCTCTTCGCTGTTGGAGCTGTACAATATCATATACCTATAGACTTTCTGCACTTATGAAAACATGTGCCATCTGATGCAACACGTTGTAAAACAAATGTTTGCAATGCTTATCATCAATAATCACCACTTTCTGACAATGCAGTTGACCGGTCAGTTGCTTTGGATTGCATCAGATCAGTTTTGAAACAATGATTTTCATTTTGTAGCCATTAACCCGCTCGCGTATGTCTCATGTTCTCCATGTCTGAAAATGACAACAGCAGAACTAACAAAACTCATGCTTGATCTTTAGAAAACTAACTCTGCAGCTGTGCTCTTCTGCTTTACTTTAGGAACACAGTTACATCAGCACCGGGCCCTCTCTCATTAAAATAAAGAGTGTGTTATGAATATCAGGAAAAATAACACAGTTTCCTTGAAGGATACTCGGTTTTAAAATGTTTTAAAAGCTTACATTCCCAGATGTACTAGCAGCTTCCTAGTACCCATGGGTACTAGGAAGCTGCTGTACTTCTATCACCGTGTTTTTTTTCCACAAGTGGAACAATTTCACAACATAAACGTTTGCTTACAAAAATCTCCGACAGAATTCCTACATGTAATCACAGAGCAACTGTGCATGTGATGGAGCTGAAGGACAAGACTGAACATGTTCTCTTCAAAGAGGTAGAGGCAGGCAGAAGGGTGAGGTAACACTGCCTTGTTAGATATGACTGGATGTTTTCTACAGTATCTGTCCAAGAAGGCTCTGATATGCAGTTCAAATAACAACAAACCCGCCCAATAAGGCCACTGGCCTTAGAGATGTGCGGTACATCACACCGTAAACAAGCGTGTTCAAACACGAGCCAATTTGTGGAATGTGCAAAATCAAATCCATTTGTTTCCCGTCTTTTTTTTAATACATCGTTATGCCAAAGTTGCAACATAGAATGATGTGAATGATGTGATAGGGAATTAATCCGATGAAACCATTCAAATGAGCTTTCTGATGAAACGTGACATACGTGTTCTAAACAATCCCGGCAAACTGAAAGTGTATAAACAGATAATTATGTGATTACACAAGAAGCTTCATGCCCTCAAGCATCAAATCTCACCCACCTGCACCAGGACGTTAAAACTCACACAGAAAATAACTTGTTCCAGGTCTGCCAGCCCGAGATCTGCTATGGTTTGACCCCACCTAGCTGTCACTGAAAGTGGATGAAAGCAAACACCCAGGTATACAATCACTGTAATCAATACTTTGCACCTGTCCTAGTGAGTTTCACGGTACCAATAGTTAGTGTTCCGGTAAGCTGCCCAGAACCTAGAGAACACATGACGTTCCGCCTCTTTCCTATCACAAGTATTCTGATTTCCTGTTAAACTCCTTAAAGAGCAAGTCATCTCATTTCAGGAAACCATGCATGGAATAAAAGAGTGAAAACAATCAATAAAGAAAGAGTTCAGTTCACAATTGTGCTGATATTTTCAGAAGAATCCTGCGAGTAAGATTCTCATAAACCAAGCAGCGTGAGAAAAAGTGGGTGGGGCAGCATTTTACCGAAGGTGATGTCTAAACCTGCCCATCAGTTTAATTTACACAACTGGTATGTTAATTACAACTCATCACAAACCAAAAATAACATTCCAGTTACTCTCGAGTTTCTTCCCGCTCTGTTTCCATATTGACATTTTAATAATTTCCCCAAATACTTCTCCTAATAGGGAGAAGCAAACCTTTTTGATGTTGAGCTCGGTGGCATTTTTTGTGTTCACATGTCAATTATTCAAGGCCTTTCGCAACAGCTCTTATCGCTTATCAATCTAGTTGTTGAAGTGATGAAATAACGACACTCTTTGAGTCTATTGTACACTGCAGCCCTACAGGTGGTGTCCCAGCCTCCAGATATATGTGGACATCAGTAGTATCAGTCTTGGGTTACCTAAGATTTCAGTGGATATTAAGGTCAGGTTCAGGATCTTTTCACTGCAAATAATCCAAACTTTGCGCCCATATATAAATCTCTAACCTTGTGCTGTGTGTGGGCTCATCTCAGGCATTTCTTGGCTGGCGTTTAGTCCATTTTTGATGTTTTTATGCTCTCAAATGATGTTTGAACACGAGAGACTTTCAACTTGTTGACATTTTAGAGAAATGTATCCTACAATTTCCTGTAAAAAAAATAGCTCACAGATCATATCTGTCATATCTAGTCCAGGTTCACTGGCACTCACTTCTGTTGATACCTGTCTCTGCTGACATTCAGAGTTGTTCATGAGACCGCTGGGATCTGCTTGGCTCTGAATCATCAGACATTGAGACCGATGAGACCGGGTCCATGTGGATGTCTGCATGCTTGCCAATTTTCGTGACTGCACAGACTTGTCGACAGATCATTTACATCACGTTACAATGTACCGACCATACGATATGACAACTTTTTTGACTTCAAAGGAACTACTTCTCCAGCTCCGGCAGCAGAGTACAATTGAGGCCTGGATTTTGGATGTAGTTTTTTATTTTTTACAGATGGAGCTCCCAGACAGAAGGAGGAAAAGAGGAAGACCACGGAGGATTTGTGGATGCAGTGAAGGAGGACGTGCAAAGACTTGGTTTGACAGAGGAGGATGATAGGGATAGAGTTAGATGGAGGCAGATGATCTGTTGGGAAGACCCCTAAAGGGAGCGACTGGAAGAAGAAGAATTTATCTTAAGTCCAGAATTGAATCCACACCCTAAACACTCCTGTCTATAAATGCCTCTGTGCCCACATACGTTTCTCATTGTTTCTATGCCCTACCCTCTCTCACGCGCACTTTGTCAAAGGTATCAGTCAGGGAGCTGCTGCCAATACTTCATAAGGCTCCAAGCTTTGTTGCTTCATTATTATAAAACATTCACATGTGGGGTTTTGGTACTTGCTAGTGAATGATGAGTGCAACAAATAGAATAAAAGAGGACTCCACTCCTCATTATTCAGTTTATTAGAACGCTGGGATGAACAACAACGGGGCTGTGACCAATTTATCACATCTGTATAAACACCTTAGTTTCATTATTATCATCTTGTAAAGAGATGACTTCAGATTGGCTTAAGGTATACTCATGTGTCATAAAAAACTACAATAAAAAGTTCAAAACTGCGTATGGGATCTTTTCAGAGGTGAGCCAAGGTTCAGCGTTCTTCAGCTGCAGGCTGTAATTAACAGGTTCAGTGGGAATGTCAGGAGGAGATACATCAGCAGAACAGCATCTCACATGAAGGCGTTTGTAATGCAAATGGGATTTCTCCTTTGCTTTTGAGAAAAAAAACAGTGCCAACTATTTGGTCAATCTTTTTGTGCGCTCGTTAAAAAGGAACTAAGATTGCACTACTTCACAGTATGCAGGCATGGGGAGTGTCGTTATGCACTGGTATGACAATAGTTTTCAAACTCATTAAAGTGTTAGTAATGGTAACTAAGGCGAACTCCCAACGCTTGAGCCACGATCGCCCCGCAATCTCATTGCACACAATCACAAAATTAACAAACATTGCTAAACTGTTATAGTGTAAGGGCATAATATGTGGCAGATAACATTATTTCTGGCCCATAACTTTTAAGTTGAGTTTTTATGTTGCTTGTTGCCATGCAGGAATGTTTACTTTTGGCAGGTCAACAAAGTTGTTGGGACAAGTTTAATGGCAACACCATTAGGCAGGGTGGCTTACATACAGTAAGTGTTATGGTTTTATAAGCATGCACACATCTGTTTGGGTCCAAGTTGTGCTCTGAGACAAGTTACGACAAATTGTGCGTCCGTTCTTCAGCCTGATTCTAAACAGACTTTAAAAATAGACAACTACTTGTCCCTGGCTCTGTTTCAATTCATTTGACACTATGTGACATAATAATCAGTTTGTTTGAATTTGTACTTCCCCTCCTCTACCAATCCTAAAGTTCATTGCTCTATAGTGCCTGCGACCTGTTGATTACAGTGATGTTTGGCCATGTTTTAGGAAATGTCAGACACCAATGATGCTGGAGATTTAAGAATATTTTCCTTCTGTAATCATTATAGTTTGTTTGAACATTAGTCTATAAATAAAAGTTTATTTACAAGAAGTGAAAATGGCTGATGTTTTCAACCTGATGAGAACTGTTCTGCTTCATTGCTCAGTTTAATGTCATTTTGAATTCATTAATAATAAATAATTAAGTTTAAAAAAATAAGCTGCTGAAATAAAGTTTTATATTTTCAACAGCAATCAATCTGTAACTTAACTTAACTCAAAAATAACTGAAACACAAATTAACATCCTTTATGGGTTGTTTCCCTTTAAATTCTTTTTTTTTTCTTTTTAAAAAGTAACTTTGTTTCTCAAATTTCAAGCGG